AGAAGGAATGAGGGGGCCATGAGGAGGACTGAGGGGGTCATGGGGAGGCTGCTGAGGGGGCCATGAGAAGGAATGAGGGGGCCATGAGGAGGACTGAGGGGGTCATGGGGAGGCTGCTGAGGGGGCCATGAGAAGGAATGAGGGGGCCATGAGGAGGACTGAGGGGGTCATGGGGAGGCTGCTGAGGGGGCCATGAGAAGGAATGAGGGGGCCATGAGAAGGAATGAGGGGGCCATGAGGAGGACTGAGGGGGTCATGGGGAGAGCTGAGGGGGTCATGGGGAGGCTGCTGAGGGGGCCATGAGAAGGAATGAGGGGGCCATGAGGAGAGCTGAGGGGGCCATGGGGAGGACTGAGGGAGTCATGGGAACGACTGAGGGGGTCATGGGGAGGCTGATGAGGGGGCCATGAGGAGGAATGAGGGGGCCATGAGGAGAGCTGAGGGGGCCATGAAGAGAGCTGAGGGTGTCGTGAAGAGGGCTGAGGGGGTCATGAGGAGGACTGAGTGGGTCATGAGGAGAGATGAGGGGGTTGTGAGGAGGGCTGAAGGGGCCACAATGAGGACTGAGGGGGTCGTGAGGAGAGATGAGGAGGCTACGGGGGGGCTGAGGGGGCCACGAGGAGGATGATCTTTCCTTCATCTTGCCTTTCATCGTGACAATCTTTTATTGGACTCTAAATTATTGTAAAGTTCTAGTCGGTTCTCTCTGATTGGCTGAAGCAACTGTCAGTCAATCTTACGAGCAGCTCTGAGTTTAATTTCCTTCAGGCCTTTAACTCAGACCTGAAACTGCTGTTGTTTTTCTTGTTGTTTGTTTCTTTTCATTCATTCAACTTTTCTTTATATTCGTTCATTCCAGTGAGCCTCGGGGACTCATTTACAAGAGAGACCTGCTTTTAACAAAGAGTGATGACAACAGTGGACAACAACGACAATCACAAAGGATGCTACACATGAAGAACAAGTGAAAATAAAATGGTATTTTAATAAATGTAACAACAACAAAAAAAACAGCTGCATTGTAACATGATGTCAAATACTAAAATCAGGAACATGTCTGTGCTGGTTTTTGCCATGAACTTAACACATGTTTTGTAGTTACTTAGAGAGGTCAAAGGTCGAGAGCTTCAGATGTTTTTGTAAGATATTCCAGGAAACGGGAGCGGAGTAGGAGAAGGTCCTTTTGTCTAGTTCAGTCCTCACTGAGGGAACACTGCAGGTAATGATGTCCTGAGAGCGCACGCTGTAGCTGCACTCACACAGAGACATGTAGGAGGAGATGTATGAAGGCAGCAGACCAAGAACTTTCTATTGAGTTCTTGTTGAATTTCTGTGAAAACAGATTGAAATAAATAAAATAAATCTGTAATTCAAATGTTTATTAATCTAAATAAAAATAAAACAAATAAAATGTAAACATTTGATTTTAAATGTTGTCACTTTAATCAGACTCGGTCTCTGAGGAGCTGCTCGCTCAGATTTGAACAAACATCTTTATTTATTTCATTTCTTAATTTCATTTATTTATTTCATTTATTAATTTCATTTATTTATTTCATT